CCGGCCCTGTCCCAGCCAACACCACCATCATCCCAGTGCCAGGCCCAGCCTGGGGAGTGCTCCCGCCCTGCCGTCCCCCTTCCCATCCCCGAGCCACCTCCCCGCTGCCCCGCCACCGCCCCGCCACCGCCGCTCTGGGGCATGCCCCGTCACCCCTCGCACCGCAGGGTAACGGGCTACTACAAAACTGAGTCGGCCCGCAGCTGGGAAAAAGCCTTGCTAGTGGGGCGGGAGATGTTCAAATCTCTGATTTAAATCATCTTCATCTAACGAGTATCGGGGTGAAAACACAGCCGAGCCCCAGAGCTGGCAGAACCAAGCCAGAGCCATCTCCAGCCGCCCTCTTGCCCCACCAGACAGCTGCCCTGGTACCGAAGTCTCACTCACAACAATATCTCTGTCACCATCTAGAGGCCCAAAGGGTATTTAAATATTTGTTCTAATTTCTTTCTAGATGGTTTCTCTACATGGCTGTATTAACATATACTAACGCAGTTAGCTTATATACAGTGTTTAATCAAGTTATAAAAGTGACATTCTTTCAAAAGGTGCAAAGTTATGTTTTGACACATAAACTACTGAGACAAGATCTGCATCGAAAATAAAACCTTTTCACTTTCAGAGCGTTAGGAGTCCCGTGGCTAGCCAAGCACAGACCTGTCGGCACTGAGGGGAAAGTATTTTGTAAGCGTTGTCAATGAAGAAGAATAAATTTAAAAAATTATTTTGGAACTAAACTGAAATTTTACTAAAACCTTTACACTAAAGGAAGGGGAGAAGGGGGTAAAGACAAAACTAATGAAGTGTTCTTACTTTATAAATCTTCCCAGTTTCTTTTTAAATCCCATGAAGATTCTATACTGACGTTTGGATTAAACACATTGTTACAGTTTTTTCAGGCTTTCACATAATTACAAGGCTTTAGGTCTTTGAATTTACATCATACCTTAGACGAGAGGGATGCTAACCTGTCACTTCTTATAAACAGAATATTTCTTCCGCAATTACTCTACAGTTTTTCCATTAAGTCAATTTCTATTTATATGTATTGTTTTAAAAACACTATTCCAGCATTAAACATATTATTTAGTTTAAGCAAGTTTTAAACTCCCTTGAGATGTTAAACTGACTTAATATGTGAATCCTTTCAATCCTCACCTAACAAAGGGTTCCCTACGCTGCTTCCAGCAAGTTTGGAAAAGGGGTTGCAGTACCTGGCACAGTCAAGTTCAATTTCTTTTATAAAAAGTATTTTTAAGCTGTCCCATATGGATCAGCAATGTTTTTTTTAAAGTTAAGGTCTACGCACTTACTGGGAACAAATGCAACCCTACTGTCTGCACCGATTACCGGGTCTGGCTTGGGAGTCCTAAAGACTTGCAACCAGCACAAAGTACAATTTCTGGCAACAGAATAAAGTTGCCAGGAGCACCTTTCCCGTTTGGCCCTTACTGACTGCCTTGAAGTTTTACAGGTTCTCTTATTTTTCCAATGAAGACAACAACTAAGTTTCCCAAAAATTTAAAGTTAATCCAATCGTTAGATGCATGATTTGATACAAAAATGTTTCTCAATGAGTATGTTAATTTTCTTTTGCTTTTTAATCCTGTGGCTGGGAGAGAAGCACTTCAAAAACCTGCTCTTTGGATGAAACCACAAATTTGCTTGGACATCAATCAGACCAGCTCTTCCACAAATTCCTCAAGTTGCTGGTGCTTAACACCAGCAATTTCTGAATTACTGTAAACTTAACAGCAGTGCAGCTGCTCTCCACTTCTGCCTGTTTACTCAGTTAAAAACTTCATAAAAGAAGTAACAACATTAGGATTAATTTTAATTACCTGACCTAATTTTCAAGCCTCTCTCTCCCCTTACCCCCCTCCCCCAAAGTGTACCATTTGAAAGAAAATGAATGCGTCAATTCAGTAATTGATTATTTCCAGTATTATATGGCTTTGATGGTTTGATATGGAACAAAAAAAATCCCATTTTTTGACATCACGTGCTCACAGAAAATTTGTAATAGGTATAACTCTGCCAAAGCTTTAAATTGTTTCTGCTTTTTCACAACATACAAAACAGACGTGACCTAACAATGAAAAACATGCAAACAAAAACTTCCCCAAAATATGAACCTGTGTGGATATACATACCAAAGTGCTTCCAAATAAATGTTTAGTCTAGAAGCATACATAGTGCCAAAGCTGCCAAAGGTAGTGCAGAAGATTTAAGCCTCCAAGTGGTAGCAAGCAATATATTTTACATTGTAACGACCTCTACATTCCTGCAATTGCTTCCAAAACTTCTCGTATTTTAAGAACAGCATTTGACTTCAGAAAAAGCGCACTTTTTAATACACCCTTCTCCTGACTTACGCTTTATGTAATTGTATCACAGGTATACAGTTTAATGCTCACAGTGTCCAAAAGTTGTGAAGACTCTGTAACAGACAACTACAGTTTGAGAAGCTCAGGTTGGTTTTTGTTTCCCCAAGTCTCTGAATTATTGAATCGTATTGAGAGAGGGGGGCCAGGAGCTCCAGTCCCCACGTAGTGCTACATACCGTATGGAAGTTCACATGCATCTCTTCACGGAGAGTATCGACAGTACTAGGTTTGATCCTGTTGGTACCATATTAGCTTTTCATCCCTGCTTCGAGTTCCAAAAACTTCAGATTCTTCACTATTGTACTAAGTAACAAGGATATTATCTCTATTTTACTTAAGTTACGTAGTTTTCAAGGATGTTATGTGCTCTACCGGATACAGCGTATCTTCCTGACAAAGAAACTAGGGGAAAAAAATGAAGAACCAAAGGTCCCTTTGAAAATTAGTGAAAAAGTGATTGAAAGAATGATTTCAGGTGCAGCTTTATGGAAAGAATGCAACAGTATTTAAATATTTGGCAATCCAACGTTAGTGATAATTAAATCCTTGATTGTTGACCGATAGAATTTTTGTTAAAATTTACTTAGAAAAGCTGGTTTTTGCTATTAACAAAACCAGAGTAACTGGCTTGGAATGAAATCTAGTAACTAGATGTCCAAATGAGATGAGCAGTTGGTTCCGTAATTTCAGTATATGTCTGGACAGTCTGAGAAATTTCTATCAAAATAGCCACCTGAGTACAGCCAATCTGAAGTCCCAGTGTATGGGTTAGTGCCTTGATGAAACCATCTGCAAAAAAAAAAAAAGAAAAAGAAAAAAGGAAAGGAAAGGGAAGAAACAATAAAAAAAAAAAAAAAAGAGGGAAACGTTTTTAATAGGGGGAAAAAAACCAACTTTGCTTGTTTCACAAAACATTGTAAAAACACACTGGTATTTCTTATCAGAAAAAAAATCTCAGGAAATATTCTAACATGAAAAATAAGGCATTAAACTTCCTACACAATTATCACCACCCTGTAAAGCTTTTTTTTTTTTTTTTTTTACTTAAAGTCAAGAAGGAGCGTGACATAGATTTTAAAATTGCTGTCCTATTCAAAATAAAAATAACATTGATGCTCTAGATTGTATATTGATTCTTTAAAAGAATGCCAAATCAGTTACACAATCCTTTTTGTAAACCTGTCCAAACAGGAAACAGTTTTGTTCTGTGGAGCTGTACTTTGCACAGAACATTAACAGATGCTCCCTTTTTAGCCACGTTGACTGAAAACAATTTCATTTTCTCTGGAGGACATTTTCAAAGGCATTAACTGGAATTAGTCTGTAGCTGCTCCTCTAGGCTTTGAGAAGAAAATGCCTTCTCTTGTGAACTTCATGAAATTGTGGGAGCATCCCAAAGTTCTTGCCTTCGAAGGAAGCACCTGCAGTAACTGGCCGTGAGCGTACACTGGACTGCCTAGCACTGGCATCTGGGAAAAGCAACCGGCGGGAGCAGGAGCCAAAGGAGCCAAATCACACATTACTCCAGGATGCATTCTATGACCCAGACGTCACTTGAATATGCTATCAAAAAAGCAATTTCTGAAGTATCCAAGCAAGAAGTCGTAAGAGTGCAAAAATAAAAGGCCCTACAGGGCCACAACGTCTCACTAAACTGCCCAAAGCTGGACAGGAATTGCTCAAAGGGGAGATGAGACTTAACATTTAATTCATTCTAACAAAAATATGATCTCTGTGGATTTTAAAAAACAAAACAAAACAAAAATCCAGCATTACCACAGTAGTTAATTATGAAAGGTTTCAGCATTTATTATTAGATAATTTCTCCAGGACAAAGTTATCAGCAATTTTGGCTTCCAGCTACATTATTTAATTGTTGACCCAGAAAATGCTTTAAGTGACGCTACAAATTGTGCTGTCATGCAGGAAATCAAACACACACTGTCTTGAATAAAAACATTTCAAGCGGTACACCAAACCATTCCGAGCATTAAACAAACGCCCAACTTCAGTCCCCCTTACCGTGTGTGCCACTCCACTTCATCTTTTGCACGCTCCTTGCGAGCAGCTCTTTGTTTCTCTTCTAGTCTCTCTTTTTCTTTGCTAGCCACATCTAACAAACATTTCAAAAGTAATCGGTTACTTAGTAAAACAGAAACAAAACTGCAGAAAACACAGAAAAGACTGCAGAGAAATGAAATATAGTTCATTTAAGCATTTGCTGTACACAATCTCACTGAACAAGGAAAATCTCAGGCAACAAAAAACTAAAACTGTCATTTACAAAAAGTTACTGTTACAAACACAGAGTCAAAACTGAAATTTTGGTGTTTTATCTATCAGAAACACTGCACCCAGACAGCAAGAACGAACTTAGATTAGGTATAACACAGAGAGTGATTTTTTCACTATTTGGCCATGTGTTTTTTCTGACAAATGCCAGAGCAACAGAGCATGTCTGTGCACCACATGTCTGTCCAGACAAACTCCAGAGCAAGTCTGGCAGTTCCCCCCAAGTCAACAAACACGCAAATACACCGTAACATAGGATAGCAGTCTTGGGATCCACCTTGGACACATTTGCTCTCCCAGACTTTTCTGGGAGAAAGCAGACATCATACATTGTTCAAAAGCATGTTCATTAACACAGGCTGAAAAAGAGTTAAGGCTGCTCTAGGAATGAGAAACTGAAGAGAGTGTTCCTGTATCAACCAACCTCCCTCCAGTCATCCCTCTCAAAACTTACTAATGGGAAAATATTTCCTCCAAACACATACCCATGTTTCCATTTTCCATATTTCTGATATCTGGACGTAGTCGACAGTCAGTGGGAGCTAATATTGCTTCCATGCCTTTTTCTAGCTCATTGAGACTCACAGCAAAACTGGTAAAATTGTACATCTTAAAAGCAAAGACAAGATACAAGTCATTTTGGCAAAGTGGCACTGGGTTCCCTATACCAAATGGATACAACAGAACTTCCGAGAGAAATTGCCAAGTCAAACCTTCTCCCACTGGCTACCCTGAAAGCAAGGTTCATACAAAACTAGATTATTTTTTTTTTGTTGGAGGGGAGGGACAAAGGGCAGAAGGGGATGGAAGAAATCACACCTTTCTTTTTTTAAGCAGTCTGCTTCAGAGGATCAAGACAGATTTTCCTTCACATGCGATATTTAACATCATGATTTTTATGAAAAAAAAAAAAATAAAAAAATACCCACACCTAAAAGACCTGTTGAAACTATTTAAGTTAATATCCAGCTGCCCAGTTACTGCATTTTTTTGAAGCCTGCCTTCCAACAGCAGGGTCAGCAGAACGTCAGGGAACATGTATGCACACCTCAGCCACTTTAAGTGCAAAGATCTCACAGACAGGTTAACCTAAGACACCAGACTTGCACTCAAGCAGCTGCAGTCAGAGCATGCATTCTTTCTACCAACTCTGACACAGCAGTGATGCTTTCAGCACAGGAACAAAGCAGAGAGCTTGCTGTAATACAATTTTACTGCTGCAGCAAGAACTGCCAGAGCCTGACAACATGCGTACTAAGGACAGACACTTCAACGGGGTTTCTCTTGAACATTACTCATGTTCCCATGGATAAGTCACTAGTGATAGCAATACACAGACTGATTGGAACAGTTACCTGCGATGAGTTTGGTGGCCTACAATTTATTCTCCAAAGCAATTTACTGCCTGGTATGAACTGCACTGTGTCTTGAACTTCTGGCATATCATCAGCCTCATCATTTTCAGATTTAATAACATCTTCACTCTGAAACAGAGATAATGCTTAGCAGGGGAACAAAGGGAAATTGGACAGTTTCATCTAGGATTCTATGCTAACTGTTGAAGAATATGTTCAAATTTGACATATTAAACAGTACCCTGCACTTCTGCCTCACCCCTCATTTTTGCTTTTCCTCACTCTGTATACTGTTCCTCTCGTTTATATCTTAGCGTCTTGCTCCTGATATCTTTGAATAGTCTCCCATCACCTATGTACAACTTGAATGTCTGTTTAAAAAAATTAATAATAGTAAATTAATGTATTTCAGAAATATTTTCTCTAGCTTCCCTTCTATCCCATGCCATAGCTTAATTTCACCTAACTCGACTATTACTTCTTCAGGTTGAAACATGCCAAGACTGCAATTTAAACCAGTTCCCATAATGGCCTAAGAAAGGTAAACAGGGCATGCCTGCTCTTGGATATTGCTTCATCATTTGCAAAAGATTTGGATGTGCGATTAAAAAAAAAAAATACAGATATGCACTTGTTTCAGTCTGATTTCCTATGATCCAGATTCTTATAACTATTATCACTGCCAACTTTCTTACTATGAAGACTGTGTACTTAAGTTTATAAATACAGTGTCTTTCCTTCCAAGTTCCTTTGTTATTAGAGGCACTGCTGTAATGCATATATAAAATCAAATGCAGTATTCTTCAGGAGGCTGCTCTCAGAATCTGAGAGAATCTGACTGTTGTAGGACACAGACAGCTACATTGCAGAATTTCAGAGGATTTCACCATGAGAAACTATTTAAAACCACAACAATCAGAAGAGAAGTTCGATACTATCACTCTAGGATGTTATTGCTTCACAGTTCTACCTCCTCTCACTCCCACCTCCTTCCTATTTTCTTTCTGCCTCTTCTGACAGGGCTCATTTATTTTATTCAAAAATACCTTATTAAGTTAAACAGGGCCTGTTTTATACACTGGAAAACAGCTCCATATGGTTAAGAGTCTAATTTCAATCATTTGGTTTGAGTATTCATTATTTAAAAAGACTCTTTTAGACTACGTTCTATGTCAACATCTGGTTTACTGTTAGACAGTTCCCCATCTAAATATAGATTCAACAGGAAGGAAGGAAAGAAAGAGTTGATTTTCATAAGATGAACAGAATCTTATTATTTAAAAAAAAAGAAAAAAAAAAAAAAGAGTCAAAACATAAGCCTGCACCATGACGGAATCCCGAGCCAAAAGCAAAGCTGTTGTTGCTCTAGATTCTTTTGATGTGAATACTTTTTAAAAGAAGTTTGAGTCTCTTAACATTAAGAGTGATTAGCTTCTGTTTAATTCATCATTTTCAATGAGCAACCAGGGTCTGCGGGACCCTGTTGATATCAGGAAATCCAGTAGTCCTCTGCTGCATCATACAACGTTTTGCATTTTGCATATTACACTGAGGCTCTGGTGGTAATTTACCTGACACTGCTTACGTGTGATGAAGAAACCCTGCATGTTTCCAGACCCCTTTGTTGTCAAAGCTGTCTACATCATAAATTCTGAAAGGCTGCATCATCAAAAAGCATAACTGACTTTAAAAACATGTGCTTTTTAAAATTTAGTTTTTAATGCCCAAATCCTCATATTTTTACATCTGGAGTTGGCAGTAGAGCCACTTTCCTCATTCAAGGACTGGACGGACTGGACAACATCAGCTTGGGGTTGATATTTGATGACTTCTCTTTGACAAACCTCTAGTAAATGCCATTTCTATAAGCTCTCTTCAATACGAGCAGCTCACACTAAAGTCTGTCTACCCAAGTTCAAAGTGCAATGCCTGCTCATGGGATTAACACTGCTCACCTCTGAACCCCACCGAAAGATGGACTGTTTTAACCCTCCACTCATCACTGTTTCTGACCATTTCTGTAAAGAAGATGTTTTCCTTTCATTTCTCATATTTCAGTATCTTTTCTCCCTAAAGAATCCTTAACCTTACCGGCTTCGGTTTCTTCTGCTCACCACCTCTCTTTTCATTCTTTTTGTAAGTCTCGTACGTAGTGGGATCAGTGCACCATAAGCATTCTGTCCACTTGCCATAGATCACGCACAGCTTCTTTCTGCTGCAGAGAAAGCAAAGGAGACTTAGCTTTTGCTTCTTATAAGTCTTCTAAGCCAAGTCATGCAGATTCTGATCTATATTAAATACCCAGCTCCCTACTTTGTTGTATTTTATGCTTCTTTTCAGATTTCTTGGAAGTCAAATATTTGATAATGCAAAGAAAAGGTTTCAGCTTATTCCAGTCTTCCTGGCATTCAGTCCTGCAGAACGCATCTTCATGACTTAAAACGCATGATTTTGCCACTGTTAACATGAGCGTGGGTGCAATAAAGCCAATAGTTTACAACACAGAATCACAAAACAGGTTTGGGTTTGATTAAAAAATTTCCAATAACCATATTCTCATTATTTTAAACTGAAGACCGGAATTGTGACTGTACAACAGTGAAATCAGTTGAGACTACTCTGCATTTTCCCTGGCTACCTTTATTTCCAAAGACTGGACTGGAGACTTTTTCTAGTAACGCTTAAAAAGATCATCCTAGAATCAAGACGTTTAATACTGGCACAGAGAAGAGAAATGGGTCACCAACTGCTACCAACTTTGCAGTCACTATGCCAGCACTAAAGAAATGACACAGTGCTCAGAAATGGAGAGGCCAAGAGGCTTTTATGACTTACTTTTTGTCCTGAATGTATCCCTCTACTCTGTGAAGCTCTTTCCCAAACAGTCCACACGGTTTAAAGTTAAGGACACATTTATCTCCAGTACTGTAGAGGAAATAAGTACATACTTAAAGAAGCAAGCCCCTAAATACATCAGTAAGTTTACTTTTTTACCTTATTTAGCTTTTTCATATAGTTACAATTAGCTGGGGGGTAGTTATTTGTATAATTATTTTTCTTTAACTATGGTTCATTATCTGACCAGAGCATTAAAAGAGACACACAAATTTCGAAGTTCCACAAAAAGGACAAAAAAGAAATCAATGTGCATATGAAAACAGCAGCCTGTGAAAGCCAGCTGAAAACACGACCATACTTTTGAGTTTCATGTATACCTACAATTTACCAAAAGTACTAGTAATAAAATGGAATGCAGTCTTGCATACTACTTAACTCATGATTAACACACCGCATTTCAGATGAGTATCTATTTACAGCTAACTGTAATGAGAAATAACTTTTACAAGTGACCTAGGCAGGAAAACCTAGTTAAGTGCATTCAAAAGTTACCTCTAAACTGCATATCAAAAATTCTGAACTAAACATTTTACAAACATAAAGCAGCATTATATTTCAGCACCTTCCTTGCATTGAGATGTACAAATATGTAAATAATCTCCCCTGGTGAGGTATTAAGCCAAGTTTCTATGCCAAGCACAAAGTATACAGAGACCATCCTGGGTCTTTTGTGCCAATGAAAGAGACAGGACTGTAGATTTGATGCTATGAGAAGTATCAAAACAGCAGCCCTGCTGGATTAAAGCTCCCACTTATTGACAGAAAAACATGTGCAGAACTAATACAGTTTTCACAAAATTCTCTCCCTCATCATTATAGAAGGTAATTTATTTTATATAAGGTAAAAAGCTTTTATATAGGCAGTTGGCAGAGCAATTAACATGCTCTAGGTTCGCATTATCCTACTCTGCAGTCAGTTGTCTGTGCTGTACCCTTAAATTAAGACATTCTCTGTTTTCAAAACTAAAAAGACAGCCAAATCACAATCAATATGATGAAGGCCGATGGCAAGCCTCCAATTATTCCATTTAATGGTTCTGGAGTTAAATTTAATTTCTGTTCTCTGTCAAAAGGGTTGAATTTGAATGAGTAACTCACAAATGTAAAATCTTTGTACCCCATAAGCCATCTAGCCCTGTGCCTTTTCACTACGATATTAAGCCCAGTCCAACAAATAGTATGAATTTCTCAGAAAAAAAAGAAAGAAAGAAGAATTAAAAAAAAAAAAAGACAGGACTTTGGCCCTACAAAACAAGGTTTCCTGTGTAATCTTGAAAAAAATCAAAACTCTCCGCTTTGTAACAAAAGTGACTGTGCACCAGTCCCTATAAGCCAACCCTCAGTTTCATGATTAGTATTACCTGTGATTTACAATTTCTACCGTTCCGTATTGTTCTAACCACAGTTTACCAATAATTACATTATGTACACAACAGGTTGGATTTGTCCACGTGTAAGCTTCATTATGTCTGTAAAGAAAATAGAGAAGTACATCATTTTCTCGAGTTTGAGATGGAATGTAAGCCTGTTTTCAATTCTGTTCACGGCAAGGCAAAATATTTAGCACTCCTGTGAACAGCCAGCAGTTAGCTTCAAAACAGAAAAGAAACAGACTTTTCTTTATACGCCAACAATGTGTTGTATCTAAACATTAGTGCAAGTTAATGAAGTGATATTCCCTTTATTTTTCTTCCTTGTCATGGAGTTGAAATAGTAAGTTTTACAGTTGCTGTGCTTTTGATTGCAAATTCCAGTCCAACATAAACAGTCGTCCAGGAATCCAGCTTTTCCATTCGCACTTTTAAAGTTGTATGTGATAAAACATAATACTCACAGGAGAACCAGACTGACAAAATAACTCCTAATAGCATCTTCTATTCAACTACTGCAGCAGCACTGCAAACTTCTTCCTAAAGCCTCTCTCGTAAACCTCTATCATAATCTAGAGAGTACCTTTTTGTGATAAAAAAGCACTGAACATCAATATCTGAGTCTTCCCGCAGAGAGGTTAGTCACTACCAGTTCTGACAAAGGTTTGATATGAAGACACTCCTCCTCGAGGGCTGGTCAGACTAACCCACTTAAACAACTTTTTATTTTACAAACATGGGGTGGTAAAGGCTTTTGAACCTGAAGAAACAGAACAGGATCCTCTTTGTAACAAATGCCTTGTACTTCTAAGTATGTACTTCCACTAAGTATGGAAAGAACACTCCTATTTGACGTTTCCAACCGGTCTGTCATTTTCCAGTACAGAACAAAACCAGATCATTGAAGTCTGACTGTTTGCTACAGCAAATTGTCTTCAAGCATACTTTAGAACCATGACTACTCTTCAAGTGGGGAAAAAAAATATCAAAACCCCCCAAATATATCCCACCAGCCTTAGCACACGTTTTTATTCATAAACTACTTGACACCAAAAGCTGTATAGCATAAAACAAAACACAAGACACTTATGGGCAGTGCTGATAAATTGAAACACTTATTTGTGCTGAAGAAGTGAGAAAGAAGTGTGTTTTCTAATGCATGTTTTGAAAACACAGTCATGGTTAACACAAATGCAGTACTTAACACTGACTTGCAATTCTGCTTCCTAAACAGTTACTTGTTCACTCAGGCCCTGAGCAGTTCTCAAACTACTCAGACCAAGAGAATGGTATGAATCACACCACCGAGAGGCTTCACATTTTATTTCAACTTCTGTTGCTAACTTGAAGCAATTATTTAAAATAAATGCTTTAACCATTTATAGTCCAGTTTAAATCTGTGCCTTGTAATTTGATTAGGCAGAGCAAGAATTTTCATAGTCTTCTAAATAAAGGCTCTCTCCAGCAACAAACTTTGTTTTTGTCATGTCTGCATTCCACGCTCACATTCATAGTTCCTTCTACATTCAGAAGAAATTTCTTCTATTTTCATCATTATCCAAGACCAGTTCATACTTTTATAAGCTTTGGAAGATTAGATGCCAGCAGCTCAACAAATAAACTATACTTTCAAAAGAAGCTACAGGAGAAGTCAATGCTTGATACGGCAGGCAAGTTGACTTCTTATTGAAACCAAATGTCAAGAAGTTTCATAAGTAGATATTTCAAAACAACCTCAAAGTTAGGCCTGAGGAAAGCTTTTATAAAAGCACCTTTAAGCGTTCAATTGCAGAATGCTTTTTCAATAACTATTATCTAGCCCATGCTTGTGTCCACCTTGGGAAAGCTTGAGAGTCTTTGTGCCACCAGGGCACAAACCAACTTCGGGAAAGTCGCGTAAATTATGAGACATACGCAATTAGAGACAAGCCTAGGAGTAATCTGGAGAGGCATCCTTCATTTTAATAGGAAGGTGATCATACGCAGGAAGCGTTAAATAGGTGACAAACCAATCCTGGCAAGTTTCTCATGTTCCCTTATCACACAGAACAGCTATTCTGAAGACCCAGTTCTTTCCACACAAACCTATGTGCACAAACAAACAAAACCAACAACAATATTAAAAAGCAAGACGAGCTTGAATAGCCTGGTAATAGAATTTTATCTCTCTCTAAATTTTACACACCTTCACAGAACTAGCCTTCAGTAGCATCCAGTTTTTAAGAAATGCTAATTTTCATAGTGGAAAAACTGGGTCAAATTGCTACAGCTATACAAGCATGGCATAACTTAAAAAAACAGAGCCCTGAAATTAAGCAGTGAAAATGGACTTGTAAATAAACTCTTACAACCTCATCAACAAGAGGTTTTTAGATAGTCACCTAGGAAGAGTCGATAGGATGATTACCACGTAGCTTTTTATTTGAGTAAATGGTAAGGAGATCAACATAGAAAGGTATTTATTTCTCATACTCACTTCAGAAGCTCCAAAGAAATTGTTCCCCGAGGCTCCGCTTCTATACAAAGTCCTTATTGAGGCCTTCAGAATAAAATGCACTAATAGGTGGGTGGTGGCTGACTTGCTCAGATATAAACCTAAATCCTAAATCCTCCCTAGCAACAACGAAAAAGAGCATTAAACAGTAAATATTTTTTTTAAATGTTACAAGAGAGAGTTACTTGATACTTTAAAAAAGTTTGAAGGATTTTTAGATTAAACTGAAGGTGAGACTTCTCCATTTCTAGTCCCATGACACATTTACAATGCATGAAATAAAAGGTGTTGAGTACAATTTCTTTCCTCTTCATACCCCAAACCAACCCACATTCAAACACCTAAATAACTTTCTGGACTATGAAGAAGTTTCAATGAAGTAACTCTTGAAAATACTGAAACTCTTTGGGCAGCAGCAGCAGGTCCGACTGAAAATTCTGTTCTCCGCTGCATACGTATTACCCATTTATGGGTGGAAGTCCTTCAGACTAACTCCTCTATCTGACTTGATCAGTAAAACACTATTTAAATTAATTAACAGTCTCTGGTCAGGAAATGTCTTTGGTAGAAGAACACAGGCGAATTGTTTTCTGAATAATTCAAAGAATACTCTGCCTAAACCTAGACATAAAATTATTAGCTTTTATAACATCTTCTCAAAGATTTTGAGGCAGTTTGGGGAAAAGAATTTTAGCTACAGTCAGAAATATATTTTAGTAGATTTTTATTTATTTCACTGAATAAACAATCAAACTTGTATGAGAGTCTGCTAACTCAAGAACACAAACAGCCCCAGCTCCCAATTTAAAGTAATTACCTGGTTAATTCATAGGTTTCTCCTAACAGTGGGTTAAATGGTTTGCCAGTTCTCTCCCACTGAGAAGCTACAGCAGAAACTGCAAAAGCAGCTACAGCCTATAATCAAATTAAGAACACATTGTTATGAGAAAAGTACATTAAAATTCTGAGTTTAATATATTATATTTGTTGCACATTACAGTATTTCATCATTCTTCCAAAAAGAAGGCGCCATATATTCAACCAGTTTTGGAGAAGAAAAGAGTGATAAAGCTTGTCTCCATCACAATTTTTCATCCAGTAACTTAAAAATCACAGAGCCACTCAACTAATCAATTTAGGGTGACTTAAAGCCAAGATCTCATCTTCACAACACATAAAACCACAAAAAAAGATTCACAGTTGAAGCAGTCCTGAAAAGGTTTAGAGCTTTGGGCATCATCACTTGTGGCACTCTCCTGCACTAGACCTTTGGCTCAAACTCTGCACAGCATCAAGTGTGAAAGCATCACAAATATCTGATAGAGACACATTGAAACAAGAAACTTGTCTAGACAGACAAATACAGGCATTCTTATGATAACCCCAGAGAAAGAAATACACTCAAGTGAGAAACTGTCTTAAAATGAAAGGCTCTGGGAGAGAAGAAGTTCTTCTGAACTAACCAGATAGTGGTAGCTGTTAGTTACCTGCATCCTTTCTAGGGGGTCTGCATGACTACAAGCCTTATTAATGAGGTATATATGCTCCATATATTCTGTTATCCGTTGAAGGAAACTCAATGGCTCATTGAAGACAATAGGCATCGTAATCTTAGACAGCTCCTAAGTAATAAAAGGATAAGTTAATTTCTTGAACACAGCACTAAAAAAAAAAAAAAACACAACCTTAAAAACTAACAACAAGAATTTTGAAAATAAGTTGTGGGTTAGTTTATCTGTAGCATTCTTCAAAAGACATTTGGCAAGCCTACAGTAGACATCTAAGTGCTACAGCTGAAAGGGGCTAGAAGCACTGCAGAAGTCCACTAGCAATCTGAAAGAGTAAACAACTTCAAAAATTGATCCAGCTAACCCATTAAATTCAAGAAAAATGTTACCTTCTATTCTGTGGTCTACATAAAACAGAAGAGGTTAAAATTTCCATAGATAGCAGCAATAACATGCCAACCAGCTCATTACTGATATTTAAGTACCACGCATTCCTTTGAAATCCTCACGTACCTATTTGCATAAAATCTAACTATTTTCCTGCAGTAACCACAAATTATTTTTTAAAAGGAACAGTTACATAAAGAATAGGATTGGAATTGCTCTAACAAATTTTAGTGGCTTTATTTAAGCAACATGTTATTTGTGTTAGAATGTTTCTCATTTTGCATTTGGATACAAGACAGACATGAAGTTCACACAGAAATTTCCAGTTCCCCAGGTCTTCTACTATATCCAAGCGAATCTGGCTGTTTAATTAAAAAGCTGCACTCATGAGTGAGCAATAAAACATCATTTAAGTGCTTAAAACAAAGTGGAAAAGAGAATGTTACCAGATGAAGTTAATGCAATGTTTTCCACGCATTGTCACAGGCAGCAAGGAAGAAAAAAGTTACCCCTGACTTAAATTGAATTGGTCCAAGCAAAGAATTCTAGTAGATAGGTCACTCATCCTAACAAAAGGAGTTCTGACAGCGCAGCTGTATCTCCTAGATGACATAATTTAAGTTAGCAGAAGGGCTCACTGACTTGTCTGGTGCATTCACAAAGGACTGTACTGGCAGACCTAGATTAGATATGAATGTAAATTGCCTAATGCTTCTGAAAAGCAGCTATGGCAGCAATGCCCTCCAGTGTAGAAGATAATTTTCATTCCTAATAAGAATGAAGTAATCAAACGTGTAACTGAATCCTTAAAGGACTAGAAGAAAACAGCAGTGATGGCCATTAACAATGCAAGCATCGGGATCCTTTAACAACACAGACCAATGTAAAGGTCTCTGTTTCTGAGTCCAAGAATAAGTCTTGTGACCCAATTACAACACACCATTAATACCCCAAGCCTACACTGGGCTCTCTAAGAAACTCTAACAGATCCCAAACTTTTCTATCCCTTCAATCAGATGAAAGCAAATATTTTTTTTTGGCACAAACTGCTGAAATTATGGAAGCAGGGTTAAAAAAAAAACACACACGCAAAAAAAAAACCCACACCAAAATAAAGCCCTAAATCACATTTTGCTAAGTAAAGAACAGAAAAAAAAAAACCCAGAGAAGAGAGCATTGTGTTAATCAAACCATATCTGACTATATCTTTAACAGCTTTAGCGTAGTTCTTATAGGACAGCATTAGAAGTGCCAATCCACGTGCTCCCATAGCTAAAGCAAGTGAAAAAATAGTACCATTACTAACTGGATGTTGAGATTTAGAGAGCTGCAGTTTAAGATTATGTTCCCTACAGGGAAGAAAAAAAAAAGGCAAAATGCACCAGGTATTATTCTGTGTCTTAAGATTTAAGCAATAAAATTAACCAGTTGAAGTCAGGAGACCTAACATCAGCATATTTCATCCAAGCTAACTTACCAGTCCGATGCATTTTTTTAATATGCTCCACACACTAAAATCACTTCTAGAAAACATTGGGGCAGGTAATGATGTCCTGTAATTGGAAATAAACAACCATCATTATCAGCCCCTTAAACAACAAGACATTTTCATTTGTAGGTATTGAAGTAATTTATAAAGGAAGCAAAGCATTAACCTAGAGTTGACAGAGGAAGCAGACAAGTGAAATGTCTTTTCAGTTCCAGAGAATTAACCTTTTCCAACGAGAACAGCAATACCCCAAAAGATAATGAGCCAGCACACACTCACTTCTCATTCACTCTGAAGTACTATGTGTTTACCTGTGTTTCTTAATTCCATTTTCTTGGATCTCTGTCTCTCCGTTATGCTCTCCACTCCTCTTGCTTTGGTGCGGATCTAGATCAAGCATTTCTGCAACTTTATGATTTGCTTCTGAAAAATCTCCTGAAGAATTGTCAGAATCAAAGCCTGTATGAAAACCGTAAGTCAATAGTTTTCTTAGAAGCCTTATTATGCCACAGAGTGCCACTCACATCTTGTAATTCTCACAGCATAAGCACACTTATACAAGGTTATTTTACTTTAAAGAATATCCGAGTGAAAACCCTTTATTAAGTGACCTAATTTCAAAGAGTATTTAGAGCCAAGTATTGCATTAGAATCAAGCATTCTCAACTAATTTTTCACACTGCTGAATACAAAACCAATTTAGAATCTTGTAAATTCTTCAGTAGCTTCTAATCAGATTAGTTGTATTGTCTCTTCTTCAGAGCTGCAGTGCGATTACAGTAATTTTGTTCAGTTATGCAGTTTTCCTCAAAGACCTTAAAACATTTAACTTAGCTTACTTATACTGCTAATAGGCAAGGAGCGGAAAAAAAAAGAGAAAATGGCCATTTCACAACCCGGCAGCAAACATCCAGACTACTAGCGCAACAGAAATGTAGGCTACCTCACTTCTTTTTGCCATCTACGTGTGCAAACCATATAACGCTTCCCTGATGGTTACAGCAAGAACCTGTGGACACCAAGATGAATCATCCCCTGAGCTCTACAAGCAACCCAAAGCATGACTTACCGTAAGCGGCTCCACTTCCTATGACCCAATTCCATCCACTTGGGTAGATAACTACTGGAAACACCGTTGTAACTAAATGCCAGCACCCCCAATAACAACATGCTTTGAACAGCTTTAACCATAAAAAAAAAAAGTTAAACCAACAGGAATCTACAGGAACACAAGCTTCTGTAATCAAGCGGCCTTAAGTACAAGCTGGGCTAACCAACAATCCAAGATTTTAGTCTAATGATTTTATTTTGAAGTCACACTACTTCTCCCACACACACTTAGAAAAACGACACTTTATTTTTGCATATGCCTTTAAATAAGAAAACTGTAAGAAACATTTTATGTATATACACACACACTTGATCAGTATCAACAGCAACAGGCCTCTTGTCAATGCTGCTACACAGACTGACTGCAGCAACAAAACAATTGGTAACAACAAATAAGGATCAGTTGTAGCGTCAATACACAGCACCCTGAAACTAGGCATTAATTCACAACTGTCCCAGTATCACAACAGAAAGCACTGCTGACCATTCAGTGTAATAACGGAATATTTTTCCTGAAAGTAATTCAAAGACCATTAAGTCCTTTCTGAGTGCCACAAGGATCAATTCTTCATCAAGAACCACAAGACGACTAGTTTCCAGCTTCCAATTAAGAGTCAGAATCCAAAATCAACATGAAAACATGTCTTGCCACAGTTTGAAGGAATACACTAACATCATTTTTGTATTCCTTTCACTGCAGCTATCACAACCTGGGCAACCGCTTGTCGTTGTGCTGACAGTTACCATCACAGTCAGCTACAGCCTATTCCAAAGTCCAGCTGTGGGTACAGAAAGATTCCAAAGCATTACCAAGCATGTAAAGACTCTAACAGAGTAAAGAAATCAGTTTCGACAAAGGTTATTTCAATTTTAAATGGAGTAAAATGTTGTGAACCTCTGTCATTAACTTTTTAAAAATAGAGAGTATCTATCATAAGTAGTACTTCAACTTTTCTTTTTGTTAACATCACCAACAGGGCGCTTTTACTTTATCTGAGCAATTCACGCAAGGCACACGTTCAGCTGCATTTTTTGCAGGGATCAAGACCATGACAGTAACATTCAAAACTGCAGAAGGAAGTACCACCGATATGATCTTACTTGGTAAACAGCAGGTGTAACGGGTGATGTCATGTATTAAACCATCTCCTACATTTTGATGTCACAAGCATGTAATTATACAGCAATAGCCACACCTTAGCAGGTCTTAGTACTTAATTGGAAAGTAGGATAGTCATATATATATATATTCAGGTCATTAAAATGAAGACTACCCTGAAACACTTGTCTTAAAAAAACACATGCCTATGTTCAGTTAACCCACAATAAAATATTTATCATTTAAAAACGGCATTTCTACTCACATATTAGCTTTTTTTGGAACCTGTTACAGTACAAGGAGACGGAAAAGCCAAGTACTGTAGGGCACAACGCAATGATTTTTATTAGTTTGACTAATAAAGTTGGTAAAAACAGATGAGGTTTCAGGTACACGTGCCCTCAGCCAGAAAGCTGATCAAGCGCACACAACGTGAGGAACAGCATCACATTTAATGGGCACTTCAATGAGATAAACACACCTGAATGTAAAAGTAAAGCTTCGTAACAGGAATAGTCATCTGGCTTATAGGGGAATAGTTACGAAAATGTGACTGGAATTACAGTCTTTACATTGTACCTGAAACCTTGCAAATCCTATCAACTGTTCATTGTTTTTATGCACACTAGTTTCTTTCTCCATGATTCAGGATTGTTTTGCCCTGTTCCAATACAGCACAATGGGAATTTGGATTCAAGGATATATATTATTTATGGACAATATGTCATTAGTAAGTAAATAAATGCCAATTCAAACAAGTGTCTTGGATACAAACAACAAAAATTAAATCCCTGCTCCAGAAAAATAAGATAATCAGAAGTGTAAAGTCAGCTTTATTAGAGTGCCTCTCCTCCTAATTGCTTTTAAAAAAGGCAAAAAAAACCAATAAACCAACAAACTAGGGTACACTGCTAGATAATCACTAGACTTTCAACCCTAAGTATCAGCTGGCTTGTCTACTGCAAGTCCATTGAGAAAGTTTTTAAAGCCATTCTCAATGAAGTAACAAGTATTGTAGTTCTGTGAAAAACTATCCAGAGAACATTCTTCACAGAGGAAGTACTTATCTGGAATAAAAACAGTTTACTGAAATGATTTGTTGTAGTTTTTCTAAGTTTCAACAGGAGTCTTCTCCAGCTGCCATTAAAGCCTTGAACTTGCAAAACTCAGCAGATAAGTTTTACTTACAGGACAGTTTTTACAGTGAAGAGCCACTTGGAGGGAGGATTAAAATAAGGATTTAAAAGGGGGATAGGGGACCACACACAGAAATAAAATGTCAAGAATTAGCTTAATTAAAAGTCCGAACTTAAATGTGTTAAGGGTGAAACAAAAGCTTTTTAAAAGTCTTACATTTTCAATTCAAATACTTAAGTTGGGTGCCAACATTAACCTATTTCAAGAGTTTAAAGAAAAGTGACTTGCCAGTAACTCTAGTTTTCTTAGCCTTCTTCTTCCACATCCTGCAAATGACACGAGTCCACTCAGACTACTCTACACATCCACCTACGAGGGAGCAGAGAGGCACACTGTTCTATGAGTCATGTACAAAGACACGAGACCGCCCCTTTCATACAGTCAGCAACTTCCTTAAATACTAACTAAGCCTTGTCACTCATACAGAAAGGGAATCAAAATAGCATAGTACTGAGAATCTTCAGATCTAAAAGGGGCATAAGGAATAGGGATAAATATGCTGGAAGTGCAGACAGCAAGTGAAGTGAGAGGCAATTTTCTCTTTATCAGAAATAACCATTCTCCACTTTTCAAAACAAATCAACACACAGTTGTACGGTGCTGCTCCGGGAGGAGGCAGGCTGGCCTTGCACATCATCTGCAATACTTAAAACATTATGGCAGAATCCACTGATTCAGTTTGATCCAGACATTATGAAAATACATAAATTTGGCAGCAGATACCTCACTTCTTCCTCCCCAAGTGAAATCAATAGTTTACAGTGAACAACAGCCAGGCAATAGGAAACAGAAGGGCAATTCTCCTCACAAATACACCAGGCTGGATTAACCTCATGGGCACAGAATAGATTTCCATGGAACTGCAGGTTAATATTTAAAAAGCAAAACTAAACTATTTATGTTTGTCAAAAATAAATTACCCTGTAACTACCCAAGCATTTTCCTGTGCTGGGACAATCCTTTCACAAAACACTTTGGCAAATAGACATCTGACAGAATTAACGAAGGATACAGTTCTGACAAGCAGAACCTGATGGCATACAGTCTTTAACAAGTCTGCGATAAGATTAACAAACCCGAGGTGACACAGGCTAAAGGCAAATGATCAAAGCTATATGCTCCCTGGCTCACATAAAATTTCAAAGACTCTGAAATTCATCAAAGGATTGACCACTTTACCTGATCCAGTCTCAGAGAACACCACCTCCTGTACTTGAGAGAAAGCAGATTCTGCTCTGCCAAGAATTAACTGAGACCACAGGTAACACTTCCATGAGATTCCCAAGGGGAGTGAGTACTCACTCATGATGTCAAATGGCCAACTAATCAGCAATGCTAATAACCTCTGAATGCAAAGAAACTTCTCTCCATGGAAACTCTTCACTGGTCACCAACTTGATTCATCACCTGTGTAACACAGTCCATCCTGCACGTTTACAAGTGTAATCATCATCCACTCAGGGTGAAACCATCCGCCAGGAGGATGATTCCCAACCACACAGCATGCAATTCCATCACATGAGCATGTCTTTTGGATGTGATGGGGACAGTGTCAGAAGCAGGAAATTTCTCAGCCAAAGAGATGAAATCCACCACAACAAAAACCAGGGGTCTTTTTAGGATAGATTCACATCCTAGAATTGGACGTCATCAATTAATAACTACAGAAAAGCTGTGGCCTCCTCCAGGAGTGAACTCATAGCATCTTAAAGGAGGCAGCATACTACTTGGGCTGCTGCTGAGACTGCTGCAGAATTCTAAAGCATATCTCCCCCCAGAGGTCAAAGGCTCTACTAAGCCCGGTTTGCTTAAAACCACAAACCACAGTACCCAATTACTAAAATCAGTGAACTTGTGGAAACACACTGCAGCTCCCTCTGGGGGAACCAGGGCCCAGGGCTGTGGGAGAACCAGAGAAGACAAGCACGGTGTACACACTGTTTTCATCTCAATATGGAGCTAAGACACAGCCGGAGAATGTGCTTGTTCCTGGTAGCCATGCTCCAATGCTAGACTTGGAGCAAAACAAGCACATGTCTAAAGGTGGCTTCTGCCCATCTACTGATCCGACCTAAAGGAAGGAGAGTATCCTTGGAAAGAACAGAATGAGGAGTCTGCCAAGGGCATTTCATTTTTTTTAATCAAAATCCAGAACCCCAAATCCTGAAGTTTTCACCGTGGAACCCGAAAGCTCACCTTGGCTCAGAAAGGAATTTGATTCTGAACTTGATCTCCTGGGAGTACTGGGTCTACACCTACCATGTCCAGACCATCCAAAAACTAAGAGATAGGCAGGCTCCATCAGGACCCATTAGAACCTTAAAAATTCAGCAAAGCATCATCCAAAAGCTACACAGTCCATGGTGCTAACAGGAGCAAAGAGTTGCTACGGGCATCAGCTGTTTCGGAACATGAATGCAGAAAGACCTATTTACAGTTGTTCTTAGCATCACATTTATGTATAACTTGGACAAGACACAGCTGCAAAGAACTAGGTGTAGATTTCACTAGGTTCGTGCAAGTAATCTATCAAACTGTCAGCATCTTCTAAAGCATCTAGCTGGAGAAAGAGATTGAACACCCATCTTAAGAAAGAATCTGAAAGAAACTATTCCAAACTTAGCGCTCTGCTTACACCAAGTACCTGTGGGACACGCTCCAAGGCAACGTATATAATGGAAACAAGTTCAACCTCTTTCAGTTCCTGGAACGGCTGCTGCAGACCAAACACCCTCCCTCAGAAGAGGGCTGTGCTGAGACCCTATAAAGACAATGGATCTTCTTTTGCTTAAAAACTTCTCTCCTGCCATCACATTCCTCCCTGTGGAAGAATAAGATTAGCACGGGACAAGGAGTGTTCACAGAACTGATGCACAACATCCCACTTCTGATCAGAGCCAGCCAGGACTGCGAGGTATAAGAACATCTCATGCACAATCACTCAGAAGTCATTTCCACCTCGAGAACTTGCAGGGAGAAACAACCTTTTGAGGTTGAGGAAAGCGGAAAAAGAAAAGGAAAGGGGACAAAACCAGTGTGTTCAAACGCAGATGACTCAAAAACACTGAGGTCTGTGTATTTCTGCAGCAAAGGAATGCATCAACATCAAATCTGTGTAACACAGACCTCATACTTAGAGGCATATTTCTGTTCACCTTTCTCAGTGTGTGTGTATGTGGGAAATCTAGTTCATCTATGGCCATGGTCCTGAGTTCTTGGAATTGAAAGATTACTAAAGACATACAGGAACAATCCACTATGTTTTCAAGGCTTTTATGGTACAATTTGATTTCACAGATGAATTTAGAGTACTAGTGCCTATTACTCCTAGCTAGCACGAATGCAATCCAAACTTCCTTCTCTTCTCCATGACATAATTGTGACAAGTCCTATACAGCCCACTGTCAGTCATGTTGCTTCACCGAGGCCCCTCTGTTTACTCCTTATATGAATTTCCAGCCAACCATGTCTAAGTCTACTTTACCCACTTGTATCTACTACCATGCTACTTCCATTCCCTCAGCTTTCACTCTTCCCATTATTCTCTTTTCATTCCCGTGACTCTACATTAAGCACTCTACACTCACCATTGCCAGCATTTCTCATTTCACCTCTATTACAGGATTTCTGAGGAGACATTTAAGTAGAAGGCTTTAATTTTGTTTGAGATCTTTGAAAGCGTTTTATTTCACCATTAAACCCATGTAAGGCTCTTATAAATAACCATTCATCCTTATTAGTTCAAAGAAAAGTACTATTTGATACACTACTCAAGTGTGCAGTGATTCATGTTTGCTTTTCTAGAAACAACACTGGATTGCAAAGACTTTTGGCTCCCTATCTGAAAGCATACTTTTACAGTAATTTGTTTCTGACTAGAAAAACATTTTCTACTTCAATTCTTCAGAATAAGTTTTCCATTAAAATAAATAAAATAACAATAAAAATAATCCGTGGAAGATATTTCACCTTGCAAACGGTGTTAAAAGCATTACTTCTCAAGCTGCTATTAAATTACCTGCATTTTACAGAAAATGAAAGGAAGACTTTGCCACTAAAGGACTGTTACAGTGATAAAATGATAGCCAGCACTAAGCTTTAATAAACAGCCCCTCATTTCCAAGTCTGAAGCTGAATTATAATTCTTCCTTTCTTCTTTTCAGAAAATAGCACTACAAGTTTTACCAACAGTGTTTTACTTTTTATTTATTTCTTAACAGCAATATGTTACTAACCCCTCACCACACACACGGGCAGTTAATAGCTTTATTTTTTTTGGCACTGTGCCCATCACTCACCCGTAACGGCATCATAAAACTCTTCTTCACTATTCATCCTTCAGTGCGAGATCTCTGTACAGCCAATCCAGCTTCCTCTAATGCATCGTTGAACTTGCTTTAGAGATTAAGTATCTGTGTGCTGTTGAAGTCTTCTTTTGCAAATACCCAGCTGCTTTAGATGATCTATTTGACAAGACAGGGAAACAGAATTAGCAACTTCCACATTTCTTATGTGCACAAACACGCACACCTGACAAATACTAATTCTCCCATTTCTTCCCATGGCAAAAGATGAATGCAGGAATCCATAAGTAAAGAGCCTTCATTGATACCAAAGTCATTCTCAATATAAATACTATCTACCACAAGAACAGCTGATGTACTGTGCCACACTTCTCTCTATATAAATACATCATATATGTTACTGTAAAATATACTTTATTTACTGCATGTTAAATTTCAGGCAAGTAGAGCTAGAAGGAGCAGAGAACTGAAGGAAGAAAAAGACAGCTGGCGAAACAAAAATTCTCCTTTGTCTTATCGCGTCCTTAACCAAGAAAGCTGGGAACAAGAAGGAGAACCTTATATCTCAAAATCTCACTGTTGCATAAAAATATTGGGCCTCATTGTGCATCATGCAGTCAGTATCTAGTGATCATTAGAGAAGTTTTGTCAGGCTACTGATATGAACTCTTGAAGAGACAACTGGAGATTTTTCCCTCTAGAGGGAGAGTGTAAAGAAACAACAAGCTTGTTCTCAGTAAAGCCAACTACACTGCAAATAACTTACAGAGTTATGAAGCATTCCAGCTCTACTTTACGGACAGACTAAATTAGATTTTTTCCAGATGGTTGGCAATGGTGTAACATAAACATTTTTACTTCACCCAATTTTTAGTCAAAGGAGAATAATGAGAAAATTTAGTTTGCACTCCTACAAATGTATATCAGGTACCAATGACGAGCCAAGTACACAATGATAAACGACAGCATGGCAATGCTATCGATATCTCATCCAGAACAACCTCAATCTGTCAGTCTCAATTTTTTATGATCCTTGAAGATCGCACTGCTTTTGTGACAGTAGTTTTTCCAGCGTAATTATAACTTGCACAATTCCATTCCAATTAAGAGAAACAAAGCCAGAAGCGCACTCTACTCCTAGCAAAAGAGCTTGCCATGTTTGAAGCCAATTCCTTCTCTCTTCCTCTCTGCAAGAAATCAAACTGCATGATTCCACCTATATCTTAAGTCCTTTTACCTCATTGCCCAAGATACAAGTTATTTGAATGTCTCACACACATAAAGTCCTTCCAATTTGCCATTCAGTAGGAGGAGCTACAATAGCCTACTTCAGAACTCATCTAAGTTAACTAATGCAGAGTTTGCCTTGAAGTGTCTGCCAAGGCCATGTATCTCAGTTTGTCACTTTTCCCTTAGGAACTCTCTATTTTGCTGGCCACTATAGGATTTTACATCAATCTCCGCATCATGGTGAGTATCTAAGCTTCCACATAATCTTCAGCAATTTCTTATTTACAAGTCCTCATCTCCACTAGGACAAAACTTTATGCAGCTGCTTCTCTTGACTGTTGCTACAGTGCTGTTGCAATTGCTCTCAGCTGGTTGATAATTTCCTTCCCTTTTACCCTCCCCGTGCTGTTCTGCAGTCGCAGACCTTTAAACCTTCTTGCTCATCAGCAACAAGTTTCTGACTCTTGTCAAAGTGCTGCGTTCTCCCAGGCAAGGATGCAACAGCTCAAAACATTAACAAGTCAGACATGTGTCCATGCAAGGCTGTCAGCCTGCACTCTGCTCGCGTGAGGCAAAGGGGCAGCAGCTTCGCTTCAAAAAGATACAGGCAGTTCAGGTCACTGGCAACCACGCCGCCGCGGATCCAAAGAAAGGGAGAAACCTCTTAACTAACAATTGGTGCAAGGATAGCAGCTAGCTCCCATTTCTGGGTGAACTAAACTAAACAGCAGAATCGATTACGTGGTTCTAGATCTGCACTGTAAGTACAAATCAGCGCAGCTATCCCTGTGTTATCTTCCCTAGCGGGAGCCAGGCCTTGACTGCGTAAACTACATAAATAAAGAAATAAATGCTTGTTCATACCAAAGCTACTGTCAGTCTTAGGGTTTCTCCAAACTTTCCAGCCCTACCAGCAATATATCTGGAAGCATCTCTTCCAAAGTCTCCAAATATGTCATATCTTTGCAGAAAATCTGTCCTTGAGGATGCAACTATGTAAACCTTTAAAGGGGGCAGAAAGAGGAATCCAAAGAAAACTACTGCTACAGAAAACAGGAAATCAACATCTCAGGACAACTGTTCATCCCAGAAGCCATTATCACCACGCTGGAATGACTCCACTAGTTTGCCAAAAAAGTTACATTAGAGGGCTTCTTTAACCCTCCAAGCTATTGTATCCTTGAGGATGCAAGACATTCATGGTTTCAATTATCCGCAAGTATTGCAACCTTCTAGCAAAACAGCAGCCAATATTTCCTGAAGGAAACTTGTGTCTGCACCAGATACAGCCCTCTAATGATCAGCACTACAATTCCCTGTTTTCCTTATCTTCCCCTGTTATGCTTAGTCTCTTTTTTTTATGTAAGCTCTTGCAGCAGGACTATGCTATTGTTGCATACAGCTGACATGGTGGGATGCTGTTCTGAGACAGCCTTATATCTATCTGCAACACATAAAAAAGAAAAAAAAGAGCCAGTTCAAAACCCACCCCCGTTCAGTTCAAATGCAAAGAACACACTTCCTCAGGGTCCCGATCCAAACACAGCCACGTCACACATCAGCTTGCAAGCTCCAGAGATGCTTCCTAATGGCAACTCCAGCATGCTATAGTCTTGTATAGAAGGCACCAAGGAATAAAAATTATGCCTTAAAAAACTGTCAGTTATCACACCATTAAGAGCCTTAAACAAGGTCATACAGATGAATGCCAGTTTCTCCTCTCCCCCCTCCTGCACAATAACAATTGTATTACAAAAGGACTTGTGAAGTGGAATTACATCACACAGCATGCGATTTCACTACAAAGACAATGAAGCTTTCCTATAAAAACACTCACCAAGTGCAAATGAATTAACTAGAATCAAAGACTTGAGTTAACTGAAATCAAGAGTTACGCTGTGCTCTCCTTCTGATAGGCACCTTATGCCACACCTTAAGCTCATTGTTATTTGAAAATGAAAGTTCAGTCAAATCCCTAGAAGTTACATACAAGCTTTCTATTACCTAAAAACCAAAATATTCATGGAAGTCACTTTAAATAATAGTCGCAAATTCTCCTAAGGTGCTAGGAGCATTTTTAAAAGGAGAAAGGAATATATTTTGCAGAGTTACACTAGGAATAACTTAACATTCATATTGCTTCTTTTACATTCTGTTATTTTATTTATCAATAATAATGCGAATTTGCATGTAGCTGAACACACAATGGTAACAGCATATAGCTTTCATAAGCCAAAAAGCTAGGATTAAGTATTTTCTCTTACTAAAAGCAACAGCAAAAAGTTACTTTCAACTAGGTTGAAATGCCAGAAGACAAAAACATCCTGTTTGCTTCATATTCAGCACTTGTAATCTGTATTTCCTCCTCCATGTCCATCATGTACCCAAAAGAATTCACTTACACACTAGCAACTCCAGTTAACAGCTTTTATCAAAACTGTCATTCAAGGAAGGGTACAATGCTCCCGCATCAGACAGACCTTCAGGAGCTCAGGACCAACTGCCATCCTGGAAAATCCTTCATAAAACACAAACATCGTATCATGTTCGCATCTTTTAGTCCTACAGTTTAGATGAAATGCAAAGCATATTTAGGTATTTCCTTACGTACACAGTGATCATCAGAAACACAACAAGCAGTTTTCCATACAAGACTTTACTCGCTCTTGGTTGTAGAGAACGCTATTTCAGCGATAAGGGTTTGCTGGTTTCCAGGTTAAAATAGTCTTGGTGGGCTTCGCCTTAACAGCCAGCGCTAATGGGCTGGGCGAGGGTACTCGAGGCACGGACACCCAGAGAGGTGCTTCGGCCCGAGGATTGCAGCCCAGCTGCATCGCCACATTTGTGACCAAAGAGGGACTGTTCATAACTAACAGGAAAAAGCTGGAAGTAGAGGCATCTTAAGAGAACTGGAAATTCATAACTTAATGATGGCAACACACCCCTGACCACAAGGAGCCCAGATTTTGTGGTTTATAAGATAAGCGTCAAAGCTCATTTATTTCCTCATATTTTAAGGCTATGGATTTGTATAATACTAATCAGATTTACTACGGGATTCATGTGCGTGAATAAGAACTGCCACATTTATTTTTATTTTTGTAATAGAATGATTTCCCCACAGGAGAGATGCTATTTTTGAAGCTCAAACTGAAAGACAACAGATAAAAAGATCCAAAAAGGTATAATACCCAGTACAACTTCATAATTGGTTGGTAAATCTGTACTGCAGGCTGTATTATCTTCTATTTTGCTCTGAGAAATTCTCCATACTAGGTAGTCCAGAATATTCACAATACAATTTTGCTCTTTGAAATTACATTTAAAGTGAGTGCCAAAGCAATTAATAGAAAACAAGAAAGTTTAATATAATTTATTGAAGCAAATCTTGAACAAGTTATTTGGGCGTATTCTAGTCACTTTGCTCATTTGCATGCCAATGCCTACAACACACAAAACCAGACTAGCAAGAGTTAAGCTAAGCATTGCATGTGAAGTCAAAAACTTACAAGAGCTTCTAATCAAAGGACAAACATTTCAGTTCCTCTGAAATAAGCTTTGCACCTTCGTGATGTTGTAAAGCCATCCACAAACAGGTTAAACAAGATATTATGCTGCCCAATAACACAATTTAGAAATGCAGATACCAATGCTGAAATAAGACTGTCATGTTGGTCCCATACAAGTAACCCCAAAACCTGATCAGGTGAGGGACAGAAATATAACTAACTACCAGTCACGTGGACGCAGTCTGTTTTGCACTTTCGTTATTGAGAGGTCTCAATGGTGCTGCACAACTCG